TAGGAGGCCATCTGAGGGCAGCAAGGTCCTCCAGCCTTCTGCTAAAGAGGTACAAAATGTAGCCATTGCTGACACCAGCAGGCAGTGCAGTGGTTAAGGCACTGGACTCCCACATGGCCAACCACGGTTCAAGTCCCAGATATGGCAGGATCACATCAGGTGTGTGACCTGGCAACTTGAAAATCACACCCAGCGCAAGTGTGTGCATGCCCAGAATCCCAGGAGGAGAAGGGATTGCAGCATGGCCCTCTGGGGGTGATTTTTCAGTTTCCCTCCTCCCTGTCTTTCTTTCTCTGGCAAGTGCATACACCCTGTGGCAAAAACCTTTTTAAAAAAATGTAGTCATTGTCAGGGCCAGTAGATGGTATAATGGTTATATCGCTGGACTCCCACATAGTCAAACCACAGTTCGAGTCCCAGATCTGCTGGCTTAAAATTCACACTGGTGCATGCGTATGTGTGCCCAAGATTAGAGAAGAATGGAAGAGAAGGGATTCTGGCATGGCCATCCCCGTAGGGGCTGATTTCTCACTTTCTGTCTCTCTCTCTGGCAAGTGCACACACCCTATAGCAAAAAAGGTCTCTTAAAAAAATGTAGTCGTTGCTTATATTTTACCATGGTAAAGTACACACCACGTAAAACAGCCTCGACACTTTCATGGGTGTGGGTCCGGGGGCATCACATTCTTCCACATTGCTGTGCTCCAGAATGTTTTCTTCTTCCCCAGCAGACACTGTCCCGATTAAACAATCTGTCCCTTCCCCCGCCCCCACCCCCCACTCCTGCCTGGCCCCCTGGCAGCCATCCTCTTCTCTCTGTCTCTGACTGCTGTAGGGACCTCATTGCAGTTGGCCACGTGGGATCCAGCCGCCTTAACCTGCACACACTGGCCGGCCCTGCTAACTTTATGTTCCATGTTCAGTTGCTGCTAACGTGTAGGCATCCAGTTAGTTTTTGTGTGTTGAGTTTGAATTTGGCAACTTTGCCAAAATCTGACTCTGGTATTTTCTGTATACTCACCACCTTCTGTGTAGGCATGTCTATCACCTGCAGATCACAGCAGTTCAGCTTCTCCGTTTCTGAACAAGTGGACTTTGTTTGCCTTACCCTCCCACCTGGCTAGGACTTCCCAACAAGGTTGAACAGGGAAAGATGAGAACAGAGCTAAGGGTATCCAGTGTTGCATGAGCCACCCTCGGCCAGGGGGCTGGAAGTTGGGGACCCTCGTAAGAGTATCTTCCTTTAGAATGAGGCACTTCCTAAGTGGTTGTGTATATGTGTGTGTGCATACATGTGGCACAATTGGTCTTAAAATAACCAGTGGTCTTTTTAAAGGGATATTCACTTCTTTCTCTCATGAGCCAGACAGAGAGAAACAGAGACTGAGAGACAGCACCCCCAGCAGAGTCTCAGTGCCACAATGTGCCCCCAGCCTCAGCCGCCCTGGATCATCATACTTAGGGAGGTCTCGACACAAACCCAGAGCCCTCCCATGTGAGTCGGCCTCCCAGAGCATCACGTTACTGCCGCTCTGCCGTCCGGTCCCTCTGGCGTCATTTGCACACAACCCTCTCCCTGGGAGTTTGTTGGCCATGCTCCCCAGTGCAGAGTCGCTCTCATAGTGAGATTCCGTGAATAAAGGAATGTGGCCAGGTGGTGATTACCCAGGCTGCCCATGTGAGGGTAGCGAGGGGGCACCCCAATTTTCTCTCGTGAGTGAATGTCAGATTGCCTGAACAGCGATCCTTTCTAATGCGTGTGCTTTTTAATCTACGTCTGTTAGAAGCTCATTTTAACCAGCAGCGCCAGTGTCATCTTCGAGGGTGCTGACATCAAGAATGGAACCGAAGACCTCCCTTATGCTGCCAGGCCCATAGACTACTACACAGAGACCAAGATCCTACAGGAGAGCGTATGTACCTCCAGACTGCCTGACAGGATGGGTGTCGGAAGGCTTAGCTTCTGCAGAGGAATGTTCAAGAACAGATGAAGTCAGCATTCCAAGGCCCACGTGCCTAACTAGGGAAGTAAGACTGGGGAGTGAGATTAAATTTTCAAATCAGTAACAGAGTAGCTGAATGGGGCCAGATGCTGCTCTGAGCATTTTCCTGGACCTGCTGCATTTAAACTTCACAGCCATCCCGTAAAGCAGGTCCTTTAAGTGTTAGCAGCCTACAGACAAGGACTGCTTGTGCACAGAGGTTCAGAACCTCCCCGAGGCCGTGTCGCTGGGAGGCAGGTGCACCCACCAGCAGCTCACCCGCAGAGCATACCTCGTCCCTTCTGCACCATGGGGGTTCGTGGCCTGCTGCAGGAGTCAGCAGTCGGGCTAGCCCCGTGCATGCAGGTGGAACTTAGGCTTGGTACACAGGGTGTGTTTCCAGCTGAAAACACCTGCCTAGGGCACTCCTGCCCCTCCTGCCTTTTTTTCCCCTGTGGGCAAAAGTTTATTTCTTCTGTGAGTAAAAGAGAGAGACACAGCATCCCCCCCACAGTCTCCACACTGACCCACCCCCAGGTCGTGGGCACACGCATGCCAGCGTGCGCGGGAGGGTCTTCAGACATGAATCCGGGACCTTCCCACGTGGGTCAGCCTTGCAGAGCATCACATTTTACTGCTGTGCCACTGCCCTCCTCCCAGTTATTTTCACAAAACAGAATTGGAGGATCTTGGTTTGTGTGGAGGAAAAGTGGTTTTCCACTTGGCAAACCAGCCTCAGGAAGGACCCCTGGCATGCATGTGCAGTCAGCAGCACAGGGTCGAGTTGCAGCCATTGCACCTTCAGGTCGCTGGGGCTGCAGGGATCCTGGCAGCTGCTGGCCTCGGGTGGAGGACGTGGCGCCAGGGTCCTTTACTTCAGGCTGCAGGTGCTCCTGAGCCTGCGCAGCGTAGCAGAGCATTCACCTCTCCCAGGTGGTGACCCCCCCCGCCCCTGCCGGCAGACTCCACTGTGACTTCGTGTCACCTGCAGACCCTGTGCACTCACCTAAGGTATGTGGGACCCCCGCCCAGGCCAAGCCTGTCCTGGCTCGGGAGCTGTAGACAGTAGCCCTGGCACTGGCTTCACGGTGCTCCCCGGGAGTGCACCCAGCCTATAATGATTCAGCAGTAAGCCCTAGAGCCTCTTCGCAGCCAAGAGCAACACCCACTGTTGGCCTGAACCCTTCTCCCTGACCATAACGCAAACACGTCGTCAGTCTAGGCCTCCCTGCTCTCTTGCCTTGACTAATAGAGACGGGCCTGGATAGAGGTCACTTGAAGGCTTATTTAATCCCTTCCTCCATGGCCATGGGGACAAGGTCCTTGGTGGAAAGAGGCAGGCAGCCCTGACGTCCTGCTGATAGAGGCAGCTTCTCCGTTGTCGGCAGCTCTGACGGTTGCAAACCCCAGCAGCAAGTAGCCTAAGGTGCTGGGACTGAAACGTGCATGAGCGCTTTGCTCCCTAGGGTAGGACTTGGGCATTCTAGGCGACCCAGCAGAACAGTAGCTTCTCTGCAACAACTGGCACAGGCGTCTCCCCTGCCAGCACTGGTCCCGTTGCTCTGCAGCTCCTTCGTGTGCAAACCCCAGCAGCAAGTAGCCTAAGGTGCTGGGACTGAAACGTGCATGAGCGCTTTGCTCCCTAGGGTAGGACTTGGGCATTCTAGGCGACCCAGCAGAACAGTAGCTTCTCTGCAACAACTGGCACAGGCGTCTCCCCTGCCAGCACTGGTCCCGTTGCCACCAACAACACAGCAGCTGCTTTAGGAAGTTTGTTCTTTTGGGGCTGTCTGTATCTGAGCTCTCAGGTTCTGCCCCGGGAAGCCACGCAGAAGCCATGGTTTCTGTTGTCCTTACAGTGTGCTGGGAAGAGAAGCGACAGCTGCTTCTGGCCCCCCTGCCAGTGCCGGCCACTGCTCTGAGTGCTGCACAGCCTCAGACTCTCCACCTTCCAGGTCCCCTCTTGTGCCCTTGTGGGACCATCCAGTCGTCTGGTGGCAGCTCCTCACTGGAGGCTCACTGCCAACTCAAGGCTGAGAACCTTTGGATGTTTTCCACCAACAGCTGCTGGGACCTGTGTTGTGCATTTGGACCCAAACTCAACCCTTCTACTTGATCTTTTCTTCAGTTTATTTTATTTCTCCCACAAAAGACAGACAGAGAGAAAGGACAGAAGAAGAGAAGGAGAGCCAGGCACCCCCAGCAGGGTCTGACACCATGGGTCACCCTCAGCCAGCCAAGACCATGGGCACACGTGCGTGCCAGGCATGTGCAGGGAGACCTCTGGACGTGAGCCCAGAACCTTCCCACAGTCTCAGCATTGCAGAGTGTTGCTGGCCTGTCTAGTTAACCTGACTGGCTCCGACCCAGCTGTCTTCCTTGCATTGTCGGGCTTTGGTGGTGGGGGCAGGTGGGACAGAGAGGTAGCCCACAATTATAGCAGTGACTAATGTGGGTCATCCACCCTAGGCAGACCACTGCCCCACTGTCCCCACGGCTGCCCAGCCTGCCATGGACACACCTCTTCTGCCCTCCCACAGACGGTCCTGGGTGCCAACGATCCTGAGAAGAATTTCCTAACCACAGCCATCCGCCCTCATGGCATTTTTGGCCCAAGGGACCCACAGTTGGTCCCCATCCTCATCGAGGCGGCCCGGACCGGCAAGATGAAGTTCATGATTGGGTGAGCTGCCCGCGGTGCCCCTCCCACCCTCCTGAGCCATGCGGTAGCCAGGATCACTCATTTCTCTCTCAGCCACGTGCACGTGGTCAGTAACTCTCCTGCTGTGTGCCTGTCTGCTGTCACAAAACCCCAGGGATGGGGTAGCCCTCACTGCTCACCATTCTGGAGGCGGACAGGTCCAAGAGCAAGATGGGGGCCTGTTCCTCAAAGACGCCGCCTGCTACATGTCCTCACATGGCCCGGCCTCCAGCCTCTTAGCAGTGCACCAATCCCAGAGCGCCCTCCCCCACTGGACGTGCAGTTTCGATACGTGGATTTGCGGGGACACAAACATTCAGAGGGCAGCCATGAGCCCCTGGCCAGCCTCTGTGTTCACTTCCTGTGGGTAGGTCACAGGCTGGGAGGCTTACAGTAATAGACATAGATTTGCAGCTTCACAGGCAGAAGTCCCAACTCGAGGGGTGGGAGGGCTAGTTCTTTCTGGCATCGCCGATGGAGAGGCTGGCCAGGCCTTGGCTGGCTTCCTGCGTTTGCCGGTGATCCTTGGCATTCTTTGCTGTAGGTATCTCACTGCTGTCTCTGCCTCTGTCTCACATGGCTGTATTCCTTGATTTCTGTGTCCAAATTTCCCTCTTATGAGGATGCCAGTCACTGGATTTAAGGCCTACCGTACTCCTGGGTGACTTCAATGACATCTGCGAAGACCCTGTCTCCAACTAAGTCACATTCACAAGTTCCAGGGGATATGAGGGGGGAGGAGGGGCTCTTTTCAACCCAGTATACCGTCTCAGGTAGGCCAGAAAACCATTTGCATCCTTGTTTGGGAACTGAGGACACCAGGGCTCAGAGAAGTGTCTGGCCAGAGTCAAGGGCCAGGGCCTCTCCTTGCATGTAGGAAGGCCTGCCTTGAAGGTCACAGCTGAGGGGCTCCATGAGTAACAGGGTTTGGCTGCCTCCCAAATCCATCTCTCCCACCTCACTGCTTTCTTGTCCCTTCCCTTCCCCTCCTGTCCCTGTATCTGCCTTCCTGTGTCTTGCTCAGCCTCACTGCCAGCCCAACTGACTACTGTGAAGGATCCCAAAGAGACTGCTGGTAGGAACCCGTGAGGCCAGGTGGGCCCAGCAAGCCCCGGGAAGGGGCTGAGGTGCTGCTGCCTAAGTCAGAGCCAGAGCAGCCAGCAGCATTGTTGGCCACACTGCAACAGGCTTTGAGCTTTCAGCCTTATTGACCAGCCCTTGAGATTTCCGCTACCACTGAGGGCCCCAGAAGCCTTGGCCACTGTGCACCATTAACTGTTACAGGCATCTGGGTGTGCCAGGGGCTGGCGCTGCCAAGGCAGGGGGCAGTCATCCCAAGGCCACCCACAGGGCTCCACAGGGCTTGCAGCCGAGCACTCCCAGCACTACTTAGGCTGTTCTTCGTGTACCTGCAGAAATGGCAAAAACCTGGTGGACTTCACCTTTGTGGAGAACGTGGTCCACGGACACATCCTGGCTGCAGAGCACCTCTCCCGGGATCCAGCCCTGGGTGGGAAGGTGAGTGTCATCTCCCTGCCTCCACACAGCTGGCCCCCCATCCAGCCCTGCGTGGTATCCTCTCTTCCAATGCTTCTTCCGAGGGGTGGGAGGGCTAGTTCTTTCTGGCATCGCCGATGGAGAGGCTGGCCAGGCCTTGGCTGGCTTCCTGCGTTTGCCGGTGATCCTTGGCATTCTTTGCTGTAGGTATCTCACTGCTGTCTCTGCCTCTGTCTCACATGGCTGTATTCCTTGATTTCTGTGTCCAAATTTCCCTCTTATGAGGATGCCAGTCACTGGATTTAAGGCCTACCGTACTCCTGGGTGACTTCAATGACATCTGCGAAGACCCTGTCTCCAACTAAGTCACATTCACAAGTTCCAGGGGATATGAGGGGGGAGGAGGGGCTCTTTTCAACCCAGTATACCGTCTCAGGTAGGCCAGAAAACCATTTGCATCCTTGTTTGGGAACTGAGGACACCAGGGCTCAGAGAAGTGTCTGGCCAGAGTCAAGGGCCAGGGCCTCTCCTTGCATGTAGGAAGGCCTGCCTTGAAGGTCACAGCTGAGGGGCTCCATGAGTAACAGGGTTTGGCTGCCTCCCAAATCCATCTCTCCCACCTCACTGCTTTCTTGTCCCTTCCCTTCCCCTCCTGTCCCTGTATCTGCCTTCCTGTGTCTTGCTCAGCCTCACTGCCAGCCCAACTGACTACTGTGAAGGATCCCAAAGAGACTGCTGGTAGGAACCCGTGAGGCCAGGTGGGCCCAGCAAGCCCCGGGAAGGGGCTGAGGTGCTGCTGCCTAAGTCAGAGCCAGAGCAGCCAGCAGCATTGTTGGCCACACTGCAACAGGCTTTGAGCTTTCAGCCTTATTGACCAGCCCTTGAGATTTCCGCTACCACTGAGGGCCCCAGAAGCCTTGGCCACTGTGCACCATTAACTGTTACAGGCATCTGGGTGTGCCAGGGGCTGGCGCTGCCAAGGCAGGGGGCAGTCATCCCAAGGCCACCCACAGGGCTCCACAGGGCTTGCAGCCGAGCACTCCCAGCACTACTTAGGCTGTTCTTCGTGTACCTGCAGAAATGGCAAAAACCTGGTGGACTTCACCTTTGTGGAGAACGTGGTCCACGGACACATCCTGGCTGCAGAGCACCTCTCCCGGGATCCAGCCCTGGGTGGGAAGGTGAGTGTCATCTCCCTGCCTCCACACAGCTGGCCCCCCATCCAGCCCTGCGTGGTATCCTCTCTTCCAATGCTTCTTCCCTGCCAGCAGGTTTGCTGGCAAACCGCCCCCATGAGCCTGCTTCATGGTAGTTCCACTTTCAGACACCCTTGTGCCAAGGTTCAGCCCCTGTGATAGGGGTTAGTGTCCCATCCCTTGGGGCAGCCAAAACCTGGAGCCAATTCAGGACATGGCACTCCGTGGCCGTGGCCTGTGGCTTCCAGCCAGGTTCCAGGGGTCTGGGCAGGGTGCTTGCTCCTCACCCTTCCTCCCACTCGCTCGACCCTCAGTGTCCACTGCTCCCATCGCCTGCCCCTGCTCCCGCTGCTTACCCTGCCCTGGCCGACTGACTGGTATCTCCTGGAGTTTGCTCCCAGTGGGCAGTGCAGTGGGCATGAGGCAGGGGTGGGAAAGCTGCCCTGACCCCTTGCCCTTTCCTCCCCTCCCCTCCCCTCCTAGGGCCCTGTTTGTTTCACACTCACAGCTTTGGAATACCCCTGGCTGTCGGGCCCTCTATGCCTCTGACCTCTGCTAGTTTGGCAAATGCAACCTTCAGGGTGGCCAGGAGTTAGGCTTGTGTGACCTGTGGTCTACAGCAAGCACAGCACGGTCAGGAAATGTGTCATGGCCCATTCTTTGCATCTGAAGAGAAGATGGGTGTTCATAACAGTTACTAAGTCAACCAGGTACCTTCCCACCTGACAGCGCCACAGAGCCCTGGCCTGGAGATAAAACGATGGTTTTCTCCCCCATCTCTACTGCTGCCTGCTCACAGAGCCCTGGACGAGCATGAAGCACTGCGGCCGGGAGGCAGTGAGGGCACAGCCCCCCACCGGACAGGGGCAAGGTCCCTCTGTATTGGCCAAGCTGTCCTCCAGCTCATGGCCTCCTCACCTCAGCTTCTCAGAGCTGGGCATCTAGTGCTCTCCGCCACACCTAGCCTGCGCCTGGCTTTCAAGCTTCTGTGTAAAGGGCTGGCGCACAGGCTGGGTATCATGCCGGCCTGAGCCCGCAGCGTGCCACCAAGGGACCTGGTCCGCCAGCCGAGGAGGCGTTTCTACCCGCTCTTCTCCCACCAGGCCTTTCACATCACCAATGACGAGCCCATCCCTTTCTCCACCTTTCTGTCCCGCATCCTGACAGGCCTCAATTACGAGGCCCCCAAGTACCGCATCCCCTACTGGGTGGCCTACTACCTGGCCCTCCTGCTGTCCCTGCTGGTGATGGCGATCAGCCCGCTCATCCAGCTCCAGCCCACCTTCACACCAATGCGAGTGGCGCTGGCCGGCACGTTCCACTACTACAGCTGCGAGAGAGCCAAGAAGGCCCTGGGCTACCGGCCGCTGGTCTCCATGGAGGACGCCGTGCAGAGGACTGTGCAGAGCTTTCGCCACCTGCGGAAGGTTGAGTGATGCACCTGGCGACTGGACTGTCTCTGCACAGGCCCCGCCATGGCCTTGTCCCGTAACAGCTTCCCAAAGAGGTTCTTCAGAGCCTGCGACTCCTGCCGTGTGGAGCAGGGCACATGCCCTGCGCCTCCCACAACCGGGAGGGCAGAGACAGCAGTAGGCGTCCCTTCCTGCCTTGGACTGGATTCAAATGGCCTAAAGCAGGCCGCTTCCTATTCTCCTTTCGTGTTCTCTGTCTCTCCTCTCGGGTCCTCATTTCAAAGACCACCTTTGAAATTGTTCATTTCATTCCATTGTCCTGTACTGAGTCAAGAAAACTATAGGGAAGAAACCCCCCATTTGCTAATTGAGGGTGAAGAACAAGGTTACTTTCTAGGCAAACCACTGTTGGAGCAGAAGCCACTAGACTCTGTTCCAGGAACTACATCTTACACGTATGCTAGGAGGGACGCGGAAGGCGCCAGCTCGTGCCTGAGCCTTCAGACGCACGTTCTGACAGCACAGAGCCATCCGCCCCTTGTTGCTTGTTCATAAAGCATTTCTCTGACAGCAGAGCCCGCTGCTCGTTTCTGGCAGTGAGGTGGGGCCTGGCAATCCAGCCCAGCCACATTGTTAGAGCTGCTAGTGCCTCTCCTAACGTGGGCAGCTGGGCTGGCCCCTTTATCTCCCTGCAGCTCACACAAATCCAGTCCTTTGGGCCTGTTTCCCAAGGACATAGTGCATGTAATTATTTGGCTTTTTCTCTTTTCTTTCTTTTTATTTTTTAAGAGATTTTTGCTATCAGGTGCACATGCTTGCTAGAGAGACAAAAGAGGAAGTGAGAAATCACTGCCCTGGAGGATGGCCATGTCGTAATCCCTTGTCCTCCATTCTCCTCTCGGGACTTTAGGCAAATACGCACACACACACACCCAGCATGAGTTTGAAGCTGCCAGGTCCAGGATTCGAACCACAGTCGGCCTTGTGGGAGTTCCGTAACGTGCTGGTCTCGGCTTTGTCTATTTCCGGGAGGTGTTCCATTTTCAGAACGTGGTTTCTTCTCGGACTGATTGAAATGTAATGTGCGAGAGCTCTGTTTTCTTCTCTGCCTCCGTCCAAGGGTGGGGAGGCACCTGGGCAGACCAGAGGAGAAGGAGTGCCGCCTCGGACTGAGGAAAGACTAAGCCGGTAGGCAGGGGGACACAGACACACAGACACCAGTATGAGTTGACCTTCACCCAAAGGCACTTAGAGTAATGGAGTTCAGGCATGCCCAGAAGCTGTTGTCGGACAAGGCAGAGAACACTGCCCACACTTGAGACAAGGGCCGTCTGCGGCTGTACGGGGAGAGGACCCTGAAGGGTGGGTAAGTAGTCGGGTAGCACAGATGCCTCGGTGGCCTCTCCGGCCCAAGAAGTCCGTATCCCACTCACATAACCACATCCCCCCTGGGGGTGATTGCTCGCCTTCTGTCCCTCTGTCTTGCTCTGTGCCTGTTTCTCAGTATGGGTTGCATTCACTGGCACATCTTGGATTTGGTGAGGGACAGCCAGCCAGCCTGTTGTGGCCTGGGGCATAGTGCTAGGAGATTAGCGAGGGCCTCGAGGCCAAGTGGAAAGGGGCAAGCTGCGTGTCACCAGTGCTAGGAACCAGGACAGTCCTGACTGCCCTGTGCTGCACCTATAGGGCAAACGGAAAGCAGCGAGGGCCAAGTGGTGACAGTATGGGGTAGCCAGAAGACCTTCAGCATACCCGACTTCATGCTGTGAAGGGAGGGCAAGGCCAGGCACAGAGCCAGCAGGAGGGGAGTCTTGGGCCCAATGAGTGTGACCGGAAGATCTTACTGATGACCAAGGACCAGGCCGTCTGTCCTTTCAGCAGTGATCTGGGCCGAAGTGACCTTGTAGGACTACGAACTCTCCAACCCGGCCCTGTCTCCTGCCTCTTCGGAGGGCTTCTCTTCTGCTCTTCATCTTCTTCTCTCATTAGGGCCACACCTGTTTGTCAGGTGCAACCTGAGTTTCGGCGGGGAAGGACAGAGACATCCCCACCCACCCACCAAGAGCAAGCATTCTAGCAAGAAAGAAAAGTGCCGGGATGCTGTGGGAGGGGGCCGTGTTGCCAGAGAGCCTAGCCCTGTGCCAATCGGGCAGTCATGGAAGCCATGTCTGCTCAGATCCAAGAGGTGAGGCAGTCATTAGGAAAGGGCCAGGGAGCCCTCCAGACAGCCAGCCCAGGTCCAGCTGGACAAGCGACATTTCTGCACACCTGACCCACACCTGTCTTGCTTTACCCATCTGGAGAAGTCAGTCAGGAAACTATCAGGAAAACAGTCTCGGTGCTCCCAAGAACTTGTTGGAAATTGAAACTCGGGACCAGCAGATGGCGTAATGGCTGTCCCTGGACTCCCACGTTGTAGACCATGGTTTGAGTTCCAGACCCAGTAGCTTAAAAAAGTTCACACCAGGCATGTGCTTACGTGCCCCAAATCCCAAGATGACAATGGAGGAGAAAGGATTGTGGCATGGCCATCCCCCCTGGGGGGTGATTTCTTATTTTCTGTCTCTCTGTGTCTCTAGTGAGTACATGCACCCCATAGCAAAAATCTGTCAGAACCAGTGGCCCGAAAAATCATACTGGGCATGTGTGCATGTGTGCCCAATGAGAAGGCTGGAACTCCCGAAAGAAGGGATTGCGCCACAGCCATCTCCTCTCAGGGGTGATTTCTCACTTTCCCTCTCTGTCTCCAGCGAGTGCACACACCCTATAGCAAAAAAAGAAAAAGAAATAGAAACTCTTGGGCCCCACCCTAAACCTACTGAGCAGAGCTGGGGGGTGGGGGGGGTGTTCATAAACCCTGCGGGTGGTTCCAGGCCGCTGAAGTCACTGAGTCCAGCCAGACCTTGCCTTCACCCCTGCAAGACTGAACTTGCCCTTTCACAGGCCCAAGTCCTGGGGCCACCCCCTCCCAGGCGCGCCTGTCCTGATGGTCTTGCACCACAGCTCCCTACAAGGGCATCGGGGAGCAGGGCCTGCCTCTCCTCCCCCTGCAGCACGTCGTGTCTGAAGAATCAAGGCCATGGGAGGGTGGCTCTCCTCCAGCCTGGGGCCCGTTCGAAGTCCACTGCCAAGTTCTGCATGTCCACTGGGGCGATCTCTCCTTTCAGTCTTCCTCCTCCTTGACACTGCCCTAGTTCAGCACCTGGCCCATCTGCACCTAGGTCAGGTGTATGGGGACAGCTGAGCCAATCCGTCCGCCTTCTCTCACCTCCGACCCAGTTCTCCATGGGGGACGAGGGGTGGGGGCACCTGCTCTGTCCAAAGGGGCACAGAGGTGACCAGATTGAGCCTTGTTCTGGGAGCTCACAGTCCCACAGAAGAAAGGAAGGACAGAAACGAATAGTAACATGCAACTGATGACAGCTGGCCTGAGCAGCACCGTCCCACCTCGCGAGGCCTGTGCCCAAGGCAGATGTCCGTGCCCTGTTTGTGAAACAGACCCTTCCGTCGTCCTCCCCTCTGCATTCTTCGTGGCCTTCCCAAGAGTAGGTTTGTTAGACCTTTTGTTGAGAGGTTTTGATCAGAGGGGACTAGAGGAAAGGCCAAAGATGGGTGCTGAGCAAGGTGAAGGAGAGGGTGGTTGGGAAGAGGGCACCTCCTTAGCCAAGCCAGCACGTTCCCAAAGACACAGCATGGCCAGCCTCTCCTTAGATAACAACACACTCATTCAGTCCAGCAAGGTCTGTTATCCCCTCTGCGTAGGGAAGCCAGAGCCTCCGCAGAGGGAATGGGGCTTTCTCAAGACACAAGGGTACAGCTGGGCCTTGACCCCAGGCTGGCAGCCCTGCAACCCAACACCTTCCCATCCCATGGCCTGTTCTCAGGCTAATTCTAAATCACCGGAACTCCTGGCCTCTGCACTAGATGGTATCAAATCACCACCGATTGTGGTTAAAACAACACGTTTCTCCTCGCGGTTCAGATGTCCAAAATCCATTTCAGTGAGCTAACAGGGTGGCTGCAGGGCTGGCTGCTTCTGGAGGCTTTGAGGGCAGAAATCCTTTTGGCCTCTTTTGAGCTTCTAGTGGCTGCCTGTCTTCCTTGGCTTGTGGCCTTGTTCTTCACCTCCTCCCACCATGGTGTTTTCAGCTCCTCTTCTGTAGTGAAGTCTGGCTTTCCCTCATGGGGACACTTGTGACTATACTTAGGGCCACCCAGATGATCCAGGCCCATCCCCCATTTCAAGATCCTTAACTTCTGTGAACTCTGGCCATGCACGGTCACACTAACAGGCCCTGGGGGTTGGAACGTAGCCATCTTTGGGGGCTGATGTGGTATCTGAGCCCTAGAAAGGGGCTCCTCTGGGCTGGTGGGTAGCAGAGCAGAAGCGTCCTGGTCTGCAAGGTTCAGCTGGTGAACCCAATCAAGCACAGGGGTCTGTCTGACCCCGAGCACAAGGAGTGAGTCAGATTACCTCAGCTGGTGAGCTCAAGGGAGCGAGTGAAGCCTGACCACCACAGGGAGCTACAGACAGGAGGCTGCCAAGTGGGCCACCAAGGCATGGAAGGTACTAGGGCCCTGGTAGGACACTGAGCTCCAGCTGGGAGGTGGGGACAAAGGGTAAACAAGGTCCAACAGGTCCAGTTGCCACAGACCCGCAGCTGGGCAGGGTGGCCCACCAGGCTGGCCGAGAGGCAAGCCCTTGGGTACAACGCTGCAGGACTGCCTCCCAGTGCACCAGCCTACCTCACCAGGGATGCTGCTTAGCTGCGGACAAGCCAAAGACCTTGAGCAAACTGCTGGTCTCTGGGGCCCCATTGCCAAAACTATCGTTCACTGGGCTGGTTTGGCACCTTTTCATGATTACAAAACCTGTGCAGAGGTCACTACCAGGATGGTGCTGAGAGATGTGGAGGGACCCTCAGGGTAGGTTCAAAAAGGCCTGAGAAGCCAATGGCCCACATGAGCAAATGCTTGTCTCTGCAACGCCTTGGGGCTCAAGATTGAGATCTCTTATCCTGGCTCTGGGTCTCAGGTCCCAGCAGGGGAGCCACTTAGACATGCCTCTTTGTACCTCCTTTGAGACTGGGATTAGCATTTAGGGGAATAAAGTTCAGAGGCCAAGCTAAGGCCTCCCAGCCAGAGGTCACTGACCACAGCCCGTCACAGGCCTAGGTGGCACTGAGTCTAAGCCTATAGTGATGGCCTGGGAGAACAATAGGGGCAAGGCCCCAGGCCTGGGGGGCACTTGGTTCCATGCTGGCACAGGGAACCTGCAGTGTCCCCCAGAGCCCTGCCCTGTTCACATG